TTAGCTTTGCAGTTCCTACTGCGTTACGACCCGAGTCCCGAAGTAAGAGCTTCCGTGATTCAGGATATCGCTATCAATAAGCGAACGTTGGCGATTATTCTTGAACGCTGCCGGGACGAGGTGGACATTGTTCGGAAGGCTGGAATCAAGGTGCTCAGCACCAGAGTTCAACTGAGACATCTGTCCATCAGCCAGCGAAACATGCTAATCAGTCAGGGCCTGAATGACCAGAATGGTAAGCATGGATAACTGTGACCCATTTAGCTTACTAATTTGATTAATGCAAAAGAGGGTAAAATGGGTAATTTCTTTGCTATGTCAGTTTCTGCACTTTCTGCGAAGAGCGTCACTTTAGCACCGTTCCTTAATCGGGAGGCACTTCACTCGGCGGATCAGCAGATTCGAAGGCGAATAATCGTATATTTGAATCTCGGTCATTCTACATGCTGAGTATAATTCGGTGTTATTTTTTTCTGCTAGCTGTGTCAGCGCCTATTGCCATAATTTACTTGTTGTTTGGTTTATTTATTTATTTTATTTGGTTTCCGGTAGGTCTTTGCGCATTTGTGTCATCTACCATAAAATTATGCGCTGTTATTGCTGAACCAGCTTCAGTTGCGTAACTTCGCTGAACAGAGTTTGTAGCGCTATCACTCCTAGTATGACGAGAATAGACTAATAGAGTCGAGCAATCATCTCTGACTTCACACTGAGAAAATTATATTTGGCGATGGTAATGGTCGCATTTGAGGAGTACTGCAATTGTATTAGGGGCAAGTATAGCTGTAATATTAGATGTTATGGTATTAGTAGCGGATTTATATGTATGTGCTTGTCAACACAAGTTTCACCAACAACCAATAGTTAGAACAATACGATGACTGTGCAAACAACTCCAAAGATTGAGGATATAATTCCCTTTTATTCCGTGTTATGGAGCAGTAGAGATATTCCATTCGAACAGTCAGACATTTCTTTTCAAATCGATTTTACAGTGAATGATTAAAAGAACTGAGGACCGCGACCTGATTGCTTCAGTCTTGTAGAAGACGATTTAAAATTTGCTGCGGGTTCATTGATGTTTTGATATACTTGTCGCTATATGGCATCGGCAAGGTTGTTATCATCGAATTTCACGACACTCGTTATCACCGAATTGGCAAGCTACGTTGTAACGGTCAGAACGTCAGATCCAGAGAGGCCTGGCGACCATAATGACGATATTTGAGGTTGTTGAAGCAAACAGGGACAGCAACATAATGTATCCTTGTTTCGAAAAACTGCATCATGTGCTGTTTCGCTCCAAGACGTTTCATTTGTCTTGAAAACGAAACAGACTGGCTGACTGGATGAAATTTGTGATTACCACAGAAATCATTTATTTACTGTATGCCAATGTTAAGCACTAATCAGCTTGCAAAACTGGAACTTGGTGGCGTATAACCCGATTAATTCGAAATTTAAAGGACGGGAAGAGAAATTTCGAATCACATCAAAGCTAGTTAATTTCTAATTTACCGATAAAAATCGAATCGAGCTGTTTATTAAAGAAAAAACATTTATAATCTACAAACAAACAAATTTTATTCCTTAAAATATTGAAAGCTAATATTGAAGATTTGATTTATCAGTGTTGATCGCAAAATGGTGATTTTTGTCATAGAATAAACAATGAAATACAAGTACTAGTAAGCTCCTAGTTTTCAGTACAACCAAGGCGTATTGGCACAATGTCTAAAAATTGTTGTCTTAATCAGAAATTACCTAGAGCAAGGAGTTTAAAACGCCTCGCTTCGGACCGGGGTTGCTTAGTCGGTAGAGCGTCGAACTCAAAGCCGATAGGGCCTGAGTTCAACTCTCCGGTTGGGGTCACTCGATTTTCTTCGCTCCGATGTTAAAAGTGAGTACTATAATCAGAAGGAAGCAGGATGCTACACACTGCGGTTGCTACATCTCTGTAAATTTTGCGTTTGAATTACGGCTCTCTCGGCTGAGGACGTAGAAATGGAGATCAGCAGCTTACCATCAAATTCATTCAAAGTAGAGCCACTGGCTAAAATGGCCCAATTGTGAAAGTGAAGGAAGGTCATCATTCCAACAGGGTAAGTGTTCCTTTTTTCAATGCCACTAGCAAGAATATCAATTACTGTGACCTCTCCAGTTTCAGCAGGCCGCGGATCCATAGTATTTTAGCACCGGCAGCCCTGTTGCGTCGAATAAAGGCATGTTCAAACACTGGAGGCTATATTTCGTAGACATAATAAAAATATACGGATCTCAGGTGCTAAATTACGATGC